CAACAGTACTGTAATTTACAATGATTTGTTGCGTGCACGTGCGTAACCAAATCGTCCTCTTGTTGGGCCAATTTTGTATGAGGGGTGCATTGTTTTGATTATGTTGCGCGAAATTTGATTACGAGGTGTGACTTGGTTATGATGTGTTATGAAGTGCTCAAAGTTGGTTACGGTTGTGCTGCGCTATATCAAACGTGGTTACGAGTGGTTACGTTCTAACATGGTTACGATGTGGTTACGATTTGGGTAAATGGGGTCCGTCGTGGAAACGGATGATGTGCCCAAGTTCTGTTTGGCAGCGTTTATGTAGTCTGTAGTCTTGTAAAGGGCCCCCCCTCCGCAAAACGCGGACCGGCGACTGCACCGACCCCCTTGAAAAGACTTTGCAAAGACCATGCAAATGCCACCATGAAAATACCATGCAAAGACCATACCCTGCAAAGCCCCTGCAATACCCCAGGAGGCCCAAAGATGCCTCCAGGAAGCCCCAAAAGACCCCCAAGAGGCCCCCCCAAGTGGCCAAAATGAAGCCCCTGAAGAGGCCCCCAGACGGCTCCCAAGAGGCCTGCAAACTGCATCCAACAGGCCCCAGAGAGGCCTCCCACGATATCCTGGCGAACATCCAAGAGGCCTACAACCCACAACCCAGATGCGGTGGCGGGACTTGCCGTAGGCAGCTGAATAGTTGGTGTTGCGAAGAGCCAGGCCTGATGCAGCTGCATGTGGCGTGGAGCACGGCATGTTCTTTTTACGATGCGCGCCGCAGGGCAGTCAGGATCGGGAGCTGCCGAAGAGGCGGGCAGGAGGTCGCCGAACTCTCTGTGGGGCATGATACTTGTGAGGAAAATGCTGAAATCGACGGGGAGCACATGTGGTCACGCCCAATAGGGCAAGAAGTGGAGGTCCCAGAGGAGACGATCCACGCAAGGGGTGTGCCGAAATGGGGGCGGCATCGCCGTGCGAGCACCTCCATTCAGCCCATTGGTGGAATTCCCTGACGGGCACGCTCCGCGTGAGGGGTGTGCCGAAATGGGCAGGGACGCCATGCCAGCACAACCGGTGGGCCAGGTGAGGGTTCCCATTTGGCACGCTTCGCGTGAGGGTTGTGATGCAATTGGCGGGGAAAGCGCATACGCGGAATACTTCCCAGAGGAACGCCCTTCGGGGCAGATTTGGTAGCGGCGGCGCCATGCGGACGCATTGGTTGGGGCCATAGGTAGAGACCCATGAAGGGCGCGATCCTTAATGAAAAGTGTGCCGACACGGGGACGGCGGCGCCATCCGGACACACCCGCTGGGGCCATAGTTGGAGTTCCCCATGAGGCACGATACTCATGAGGAGTATGCCGAAATGAGGACTGCGGCACCATGCGGACGCACCTGTTGGTGCCATATGTAGAGCTCCCTGTGAGGCACGATCCTCGAGAGGGGAATGCCGACACGGCGACGGCTCCATGCGGACGCACCCGCTGGGGGCATCGGTCGACCTCCGAACGGTGCGTGATCAATGTGAGGTGTATGTTGAAATGGGGATGACGGCGCCATGCAGAAGCACCCAGTGGGGCCATGGGTGGAGCTCCTTATGGGGCACGGAGGAGGAGGACGAGGAAGACGGAAGACTGCAGGAGGACGAGGATGAGGAGGAGGAGGACTCACTCTCCTCATTCATGCGTGTTTCTTCTCATTTGTTCAGGGGGGGGACGTTCAGCCATCTCTTGCAACATCTTGGGGCATCAAATGCCCATCGGGGGCGAGTAATTAGGCGATGCAGCGAACATGTGCCTGACAGGCACACTGCATATCCACTGGTTTCGCCGCGTCGGGGGCGCATTTTGGGAGGCGGCGCGGCCGCGCTAAGCCAACACCTGGGGCTGTTCTTCAGGCCTTTAGCTAGCATTACTCCTCCTCCTCCTCCTCCTCCTCCTCCTCCTCCTCCTGCTCCTGCTCCTGCTCCTCCTCCTCCTCCTCCTCCTCCTCGTCCTCCTCCTCCTCCCCCCAAGGCTGGGGAAGCGACGTGTGGGGGGCCCCAGTCGGGCGACAGCAAACCACAGTGTACCAGCTTGGGCAGACTCCCTCCTGCTTCGCCCGCCCCCTTCTTCTGCCCCATCGGCAATGTCGAACATGGTCGTTTCGACATACTTACGGTTTGGTTATGATTTGGTTATCCTTTGGTTACGATTTGGGTACGGTTTGGTTACGAAGTATGTAGTTTGGTTATGATTTGGTTACGAAAGATGAAAATATGGTTGCGATTTGGTTATGCGAGCGCCGTTCTGGAACGATTTTGGTTACGGGAGTGTTCAATGCACTTTGATAGCTCCATTGTGTGAGGGGTCGCTCGTAATCATACTCTTCGCGTTCTGGCTACGCGCTACCCTTTCGAGCGTAACCAAATGATTTGGTGATGTACACTAGGGAGGAGAAAGCGAACGGGAGTCCCGTTGCGAGCGCGCGACGATTTGTTCTGGCCCGCGGGCAGAGGACTGTCAGTTGCTGGTGAGCGGCCTTTCCACCCGTCACGCGTTCCGAACACATGCGACCAGCTAAACGCACTTGCCACGCAAACAGATGAATGGCGGGTGGTTTTCAAAATGTGGCTCTCGCCGTAGCGCCGCGCAAACTCGAATTAAAAACTTGCAATCGTTTCACGGATTGAGGGCGGGCCGTTTTCAAAATGTGGCTCTCGCCGCGCACATTCGTTTCTCAACAAATTGAAAGAAATTCACGGATTGAGGGCGAGTCGTTTTCAAGATGTGGCTCCGCCCTAGCGCCGCGCACATTCGTTTCCAAAAATGCAGAAGAGCTTCACGGATGGAGGGCGAGTCGTTTTCAAGATGTGGCTCTCGCCTCAGCGCCGCGCACATTCGTTTCAAACATTCGCTAGAGCTTCACGGATTGAGGGCGGTTCCTTTCCAAAATGTTGCTCTCGCCTTGGCGCCGCGCACATTGGTTTTCAAGCATTTACAAGAGCTTCACGGATCAACGTACCAGAAACTATGCTTTGGCAGGATTCAGGATCACGTGGGTGTAACAGTTATGTTGACTCGCTGTAATGAGAATCCAACGAATTACGCTCTGGCACAATTCCAGACCTTCAGGACGCAGCAGTCAGGTTGATACGTGGCATTGAAATCCCTGAAACAATGTTTTGGCATGCTTCAGGGTCTTCAAACGGCTGTCTTCCAACGAGGCAATTCCCTCAATGGAAATGAACCGGTGCGGGACCTATGAAGAGGAAGCTTCGAGGGAGGGTCAATTCCAACGTCGTTGATGACTCTTGGTTGTACACTGGTCCTCCTCCTCCTCCTCCTCCTCCTCCTCCTCCTCCTCCTCCTCCTCCTCCTCCTCCCCCTCTTCCTTCCACACTCCCCCTCCTCCTCCACCTCCTCGCGGCCTGGACCTCTCCTGGGGCGCGTTCTGACCACGACTCCGTGGCGAATCCAGCTGTGACGACGAGGGCCCCCAGGAGGACCCCCCCAAACACGAAGCCTTTGGAAGAGTGGCGGGGTCAGATACGCATTCCCCCCTGCGGAGCCTCAGAAAGTACCAAGACAGGCCACGAGTGCCTCAAGAGGCCTCCGAGACAGTCCAAGAGAGTACCCAATCGCCAAGCGATCGGTCCAAGACACCTTCACGCCCTCCAGACTGCCCAAGAGGCCTCTAAGACGACCCAGCCAAGTAACCTCCAACGGCGCTCCCGAAAGGGCCCGAAGAGGCAAAATCAGTTGATGCCCCTGGCGTGTTTTTACGGATTTGGGACTTCTCGCCTGTTCCTCTTCCCGCCACTCCGAGACGGCCCAATAGGCCCTCAAGATCGCCCCAAGACGGCCCAAGAAGCCTCCAAAAGAGCCCCAAAACAGTCTAAAAGGACAAGCAGACAACCCAACACACCCGCAAGACGGCCCAAGCTGCACCCAAAGACGACTCCACCCGAACGGACATTTCGAGCCCTCGGCCCCGAGAGTCTCCCAGGAGGCCACCAGAGGTTCCCAAGAGGCCCCAAGAGGCCCACAGAAGGGTCCCCAGGAAGCCCGGAGAGGCATCCAAGAGGCTCCCGAGAGGCCTCCCTGAGGCCCCCCAAGAGGCCCAAAAGTTCGCCCCCGGATGCCCCCGAGAGCCTGCCGAAGAGACCCCGAGGAGCATCCCTGAGGACTCTGGCCCACGTCAGCGTCGTCGTGGTTGGTCGCCGCCGCCGCCGCCACCGCTGGCGTCTCGGGTCGGGCGAAAGGGGGGGATAGCAAAGGGGGGGTTTGAGAATCAGCTCACGTAGCTGATTTTCCTGGCGCCTCCCGGCGCCGGAGGCGGCCATGTATCGAGGAATGGGCCCCTCGGCGAGGCCGAAACCAGCTGCATGCAGCAGATTTCGTAACCCCCCCTTTCCCAATCCCCCCTTTTCGTATGAGGAGGAGGAACAGGAGGAGGCCTCCTCCCCCTTTCGCCCGACCCGATCATCCCTGTTCAGTGTCGGCGAAACCAGCCGCAAGGCCTCCGCACTCCCGACGCCCTGGGCAGGGCGGCGGCCCCGGGGCCCTCCTCGGACTCGCCCTCCTCGCCCGCGCCCCTCCTCGCTCCTCGCTCCTCCCTCCCCCTCCTCCTCCTCCTCCTCCTCCTCCTCCTCCTCCTCCTCCTTCTCGATCATACTCCTCCTCCTCCTCCTCCTCCTCCTCCTCCTCCTCCTCCTCCTCCTCGCTCCTCGCTCCGCGATGCACCGCTCCGTCGCAGCAGGCTTCGGCGTCGGCGCCCCTCCTCTTCATCGAGGGGGCCCTGGGACACACGGATAAGTACACACAACTAAAAGGATCCCCCCACAGCTTCCCAGAGTTTCTGGTTGTCTGCCTCTCCCCCCCCCCTCACTTCCCACATGTCCCCACATCTTCGTAGGAATCGAGGATTCATTGTGTCTGCGTGTTTTTTCCTCTCCTGATTCATGTCGACGCCCCTCGTCTTCATGTCCTCCGCGAGGGCCGAGACTGTGCAAGCTTTTTCCTCCGCCGGGCGCGTCACGCCGCCGCGGGCGCCCTCTCGGGGGGGAAGGCCCCGTCGCAGCAGGCCTCGACGTCGACGCCCCTCTTCCGCATGTCCTCCTCCACCTGCCATTGAGGGATGAACAAACGACCCTACCCTGGGTTACAAGTGCGTGGTCTGTAAACCTCCTGGGAACCCCCAAAGCCTAGAGCCGCCAGGACGCGGCACATCACGCAGGGTATACTCCGTCAGCCTACAGGAGCTTCAGCGCACAGCGCCTCGTAAACCAGGGTAGGGGCGTTGTTTATCCCCTTGATGCCGAGCGGAGGCACGGGGCAGCAGGAGTCCTGGCCCTCGGAAGGCGGCAGGGCAAAGGGGGCAAGTTCGGCAGCCCATGGCCCTCTGGAGAAGGCGGCCCCAGAGGGGAGCGCACGAAGGGACTGACCTCGACCCCAGGAGGCAGCGCCTGCGAGGTCCTCGCGAGGACAGTGTCTGAAGGCCACTCGGCCCGATTGGGGAGCCAGACTCGGCCTGGAGAAGACTAGATCTGCAACAGATCAAAGCAAGGGATGCCATGCCGCAACTGGCAGATGTTTGACCACGGACACGCACTGGCCATCGCTCGGACGTCCATTCCCTGTTTTTTTTGTTCGGTTTCGTGCGTGTTTTTTCCAGGATGAACCAGGATGCTCCTTACTAATCCCCGACGAGAAAAAATGCACACGTCCGAGCGATACCAAGTGCAAGCGCCGAGCTGCATCCGAACCTGGACTCACCTTTCCCCTGCCGCCAGCTTGATCGAGGGCGGGGCTGCCGGCCACTGCCCCGACTTCCCCTGGGCCGAGGGTGGCGGCCTTGGAGAATGAGACTCCGCCCGTCCCTGTTCTTTCTCGTGGCCTGATCTGACATGCGGGCACTGCTCGCCGAACAGGCCAATCTCGGGCCTGGCGAAAGGGGGGGATAGCAAAGGGGGGGTTTGAGAATCAGCTCACGTAGCTGATTTTCCCGGCGCCTCCCGGCGCCGGAGGCGGCCATGTATCAAGGAATGGGCCCCTCAGCGGGGCCGAAACCGACTGCATGCAGCAAATTTCGTAACCCCCCCTTTCCCAATCCCGCCCTTTCGTCGGGCCCGACAATCGGAGGGGGAGGTAGGACGGAGCTCGGCTTACACTTCAGGTGTGCGCGCCCTGCAGCCTGCGCAAGAAAGGAGGAAGCTCGGGAGGACAGGCGAGGGCCGAAACGCGGCTCGCCTGCGCACGGCTGACGAGCGAGCACGGGGAGCACGGGGACACGGCACGCGAGCGCACTGAATCGCTCGCACGCACCCGCGCGGTAAGAGCGACTCGTTCACGAAACCCTGCTCGGAGGGCAGATCAGCCCGGTTGTGTGGCTACCTCGGCGTCATGCAACCCCTCGCAGACGCCAGGCTCAGGTTGGACAAGAGCGCGGAAGAGAAAATGGGGGAGCGCTCGCGAATCAGCTTATAAAGTAACTGGTCCTCCAAGCGCCGAAGGCGCCAGCGTGCCGACGAAGGCGCCCGGCGGCGTGGTCGACCCGACAGAAGAAGACCCAGGAGAGGAGGAGGAGGAGGAGGAGGAGGAGGAGGAGGAGGACGGAGGAGAACGGAGGAAGAGGAGGAGGAGAAAGAGGAGGCGGAGGAGGAGAGAGAGAAAGAGAGGCGGAGGCGGAGGAGGAGGGGGGGGGGAGGAGGAGGAGCAGGAGGAGGAGGAGGAGGAGGAGGAGGAGCAGGAGGAGGAGGAGGAGGAGGACTCGGAGACCCGCGGACGGGGCGCGAAGGGCGCCGCGCCCACGGAGATCGGGGAGAGCGCCCCCGTCGCCGCGCGTGCGGCACGAGGCCACCACGCCGCGCCCGCTGTGGCCGCGGCGCGCGCCGCTCGTGCACGGCACCGGGACCCGCCGCTCGGCCACAACCTCGACGGTTTGGACGCCTCGGCCTCCTCCTCCTCCTCCTCCTCCTCCTCCTCCTCCTCCTCCTCCTCCCCAGAGTGGCCCAGGGCGGCCTCGACACTTCAGGGGGGCACGCTGCTGAAGCCAGGCGGGGCTACCTTGGGGGGCTGCCTGTGCGCAGCTCGAAGCCGTACTCCAGGTTTCGTAATAACGGGAGGGGGGTCTCATTTCGGGGGGGTCTCTTCCGGGCTATCTTGGAGGGCCTGGGGGGGTCTGGGGACGATGTTTTGGAGGGTTCTCCCACGGGGGGGGTCTGAAATGGCTTGTCTTGGAGGGTCCAGACCCCCTCCCTTTTATTACGAAATCTGGAGTACAATGCCCAACAACAAATGTGGTCCCCAACCAACAGCGGCCGCTGTGGGGCAGGCGGCCCTCTGTCTCGCATGGACACAGGCCGCGGCGGCGTGCACAGCGACTCCTGTCCAAAGAGGAACAGGAGCTGCTGGTGGGCACTGTGCCCATTCTTTCCGTGCCCATTTCAGGCGTCCAGAACGGTGCTGGCGCTTCCCCGAGGTGCCGTCCCACCCGACAGGCAAGAGCCAAAACCACCGATGCCGATGCCCCCTGGACCTCTCGCGGGGCGCGCTCACGACAGAGCTGCAGAGAGGCTCCGGCCGTGGCGACGAGGGCCTCTCGGGAGGCCCAAGACATGCGGAAACGAAGGAAAAGGTAATGCGGTGTCGGTACCGCTTCCTCTTCTGACCAGCAGGCATTGTCCAGGAGGAGGAGGACGAGGGGGAGGAGGAGCGGGGTAGGAGGAGCAGGAAAGAGGGGGGGGAGAGGACCAGGAGGAGGAGACGGGAGGACTGGACAGGACTGCCATCTCGAGGGCGCACTGCTGTGCCACACCCTCTGAAACAGTCTAGCGGCTCAAGACATTGCCCCGAACTCGACAATCCGCGGCAAGGCGAACCTGTATGAGGAACAAACCTGGCGAGCGGGCCCCAGGGCCTAGGGCGGCGCCTGCGGAGTCGTCGCGACTCCAGGCTCGCCAGCCCGGATCCCGACGCACTGGCCCGCCTCCTCTCGCCCGACCTGCTGCAGGCAACACGAGCCTGCTCTCTCTGCTGTCCGCGATGCAGCCAACGAGCAAGATGAGGATGCACGGTAAGGACGCAAGGGGCCTTGGAAGGCCGTGTCGGCAGGTTTCGAGAGAGGCGCGGCCACCGAAAGGCGGCCAACGAAGAAAGCCAAAGATGCGCTCATCCGTGCTGCCCGTGTTGACTGTAACGCCCGCGACCTGCCCCGCTCCGCCCCCCCCGCGCCTCCTGGCCACGCCACGATTCGCGCACGCGCCGTCTGGGGATGAGACTTTGCCAAATATTCCCGGACGGCGCCGGAGCGCATCGCGACGTGACCGGACCCTTTTCCTCCGACCTCCCCCCCAAATACCCCCGACGTCTTCATTTTTTCCTCGACGTCGACCCCCAGAGGTATCGACCCATTCCCTTGGACCGGCGTTTCATCCTGAGTCGATTCTTCACGGTCGCGGGGCCCAGTAAGGGCCCCCGAGGGCCATTGCGAAAACACCTTCCGTCGTGACTGCTTCAGGACTCGAGGGGGTCTGGGCCCGTCACGCCCGCTATCGCCCGGGGGGGGGAACTGCCTTCCACTCGGACCCCACTGCACCGACCTTGCAGACGTGCTGCAGCCGATTGTTGCATGGATCTATATATGTAAAACCCCGAAACGGCGGGGGCAAAACGGAGTGAATTCACGTGGAACCTTTGTGGTCTTCACTTCAAAATCCGGAACGAAATTCTCCAAGACAATCTGGGCCTATCCCATTGTTTCCCGAAGTGACAACCGACCAAACGACCCGAAACCAGCCTGAAGACCCGAATGTCGGGTTGGGGGTTGGGTTCCAACGTGGGTCTGTTAATATAGAGAGGATCATGAAACAAACGCTGCAACACATATTTTGCGTATCTGTGCATATGCGGTCTGGCAGATCGGGGCGGCATCATCGCGACGCCAACGGGCGTCGCGGACTCGAGCCTTTGGCCTGGAAGCACGAAGCGCGCGATTACCCAGATCATGAAGATCTGTAACCAGTCACTGTGCTCTGGGGGTGCGCGGACACGCAAAACACTGTTCAGCTAATCGTTAGCTGGCGCCCGCCTCGAATTCATGCCCCATCCCCCGCCTTTTCCAAATATCCCTTCGCTGCGGCCCCACCCTCCTCATGCCCCTCCGATTGCGCCGGTCCTCATCATGCCCTTCATCTACACTGCCCCCCCCCATGTGTCAATTCACGTCGTTCCTCGTCGTCCTCCTGCGCCGGATTCGTTCCCCCATCGTTCACATGCCTGCCCTCCTCCCATCCTCTACGCCGTAGTGCACATCATGCCCCCAACTTCTGCCCTCCCCCACCTCCCTCGCCCTCGCGATGCTGACGCCGATGATGCAAGTCCTCCTGGGCTCTCTTCCTCCGCTCTCGTCCAGTCCCGTTCATCCTTGGCCCCTCGGCCACCCCTCCTATCGAACCCCTTCCTTCCCACAGCCCACCATCCCCACCCCCCCGCGCCTTTGCATACCCAGACCACGGCCCCCTCCTGGACCAGCCGGGAGACCCGCGGAAACTCCCGCCGAGTGACCACTCCAGCGAGAGGCGCGCAACAAATGCACAGTTGGAGACACGAGCTGTGCATTTCGACCGCGCACGACGCCGCCCCTGGACAAGCAGGAAGAGAAACGCGAAAGTTCCCGCCCATTCAACACCACCCGCGAGGGGCACACTCCAAATACACAGATGGGAACGAGATCTGTGTACACAGATCACACCACGATCTGTGTAAACAGCGGGCCCACACACGAACATTCACAGTTGAAGACACAAACTGTGTACACAGATCACACCTTGACCTGTGTATTTCGAAAAGGTGAACGCTCGCCACCTCGAGGGCGCCCCGACTTTGCCAACCCAGAACCGAGGTCGACATGCCCAGCTGGGGGGAATGCAAATGCGCACTTCCCCGGCCCAGGGCGCCCCCGAGAGAGCCGCAAATGCACGCTTCCCTGGCCCAGGGCGGCCGCGGTGCAACGCGGCGCCAAAGCGGCCCCCAACGGCCCGAAGACGTCCCAAAAGGCCTCGAAGGACCCCAAAGAATGCCGCGCAGCAGTCCGAAAACACGAGAGATGTCACATGTCAAGGACC